ATAAAATAAATAAGTCAACTTGTGTTTATGTTTACTATTTTATGACATGGTTATTTTTTCTGTTACGTACATATCTCAGTTTTTCGACTGAGAGGGTATTTTTATACCCTTGAAACCTTCAACAATCGAGCAATCACACACAAACTGCCAGCTACTGTGCTACGTTTAACAAAAACCAAGGTCCTCAGCCATTGTACGTGCAGTGGCACACTATGTTTCCTACAAACCAACAAAGCTCTGAGATATCGATAAGAAGACAATAAACAATAACATTTAGATAGGGCTGTTGCGACACCTAGTGCGGCTGCGGTTTTATACCGTACGATGTCGTATGCAAATGTGCAATCGGATGGTTTGAAGGGTACATTTTTATTTATTTTGTGTGTTCTATAATACATTCATTAGTTACAGCGCAAAACATGTCATGTAAATCGCGTTGCCGCATTGTGGGATTGGGGCAGATACACTTGTCCTTTCTCTGATTCGTTTTTATTTTACTTCGACTAAACTTTTAATGACTCTTAACATCAGTCTTACGCTTCACAAAATTGTATCACATTTCACTATGGCTTAAACGACGAGAACGACTTTATTTTGAAAATCGTGTCGTATCATGTAAAAGTATCAGCACGCGTGCCAATTTGAGATGACGCGTGGGTTTGTTTAAGCTTTTATCGATGGGGCTGGTCTGCGAATTGGATCAAATGCCAGGTGGGCTTGGAGCAATACATATTGTTTTGCAATGACACTTTAGTAACATTGTATTACAAATATGGTGGCGATTGATCTATGTCCTAACCCTACTAAAGATTGATATTAAATTACAAAAAGAAACAAGAACTTTAGGTATATTATTGTAACTAATTTATCGCGTTTTAAACCGTTAAAGTGTTTTATTTAAATATATTATTGTGTTTACGCTTAAGTGAAAATTTATTTCTTGCGTAAATAAATGTCTTAAACCACAACTCACTTATGCTCGAAGGTTTACCACGGATTTCGAACCATAATATATGTTAATTTTTATCATGGCGTAATCGACTATGTTTTGAACTAAGAATCAACTGAAATATAAACATGTTAAGATAACATCCTTTAAGAATTTAAAATTAATACTCGACAATATTTGAATTTAAACCAGAATTCGCATTCATTAGCAATTTATCACACGACACCGAACGAATCCGCTTCCTAAACAATGTTGGCTGGCTTCTCGGAGTTCTGCTATCGCTGGGAGCAGTCCTTTTAATTCCATTTATTAGCGGGAATGTTCGATCTTTATTGTGCAAGCGGTACATAGATCGGGGCTAATTAGAGGGCGTAAGGCGGTTTCATTAAAATCGTGAAATTCGTGTGTGTGCATCTGATAGCGACGTTTCCTACTTTGCGACTGAACTGGTTTTAGGCTTTAAGTTTATGTTCCAAGGTGTCTTTCATATTAGATTAACGAACATATAAATATATACATTTTAATGACAGAATTTCAAATTTGGATATTGGATTCACTTAAAAATAAGTAATCACTATGACAGTTAAATAACTTTTTGAAATTGGAACAAGTTATACAGATTGAAATAATGGTGGTAGTAAGACATTACATTTCTAACATTGTCTAAAGAATCGTAAGTTTTAATTATTGTCCAAGATTCAAACAGATTTATTTTTAATTTAAATAATAAAGCCGCTTCTAATGATCAATAGTAAATATGGTACAATGGCTAATTTCAACCTAAAAATGACGAGTAGAGACAGTACATCACTTTTATTATGGATCATTAGTGCCGAAAATGTCATATAACACTTACATATTCATAATATTGAGAAACAAACGACAATAAGCTATAGGACATTCACACTAAAAGTCGCCGTATGCTTGTAAGCTATAAATCTTCCATCTTAGCTTCCTTGTCATTACTCGAACACTGCAGCTGTTTAGATCACATCGTCTTGCGCCTTTCTTCAATGGCAAGTGAAAATAAAAGTATTTTCACTGCGACTGTACTAGTCAGAGTTTCAACTGTGTTTGTTTTCCTCAGTGTATCATAAAACTGTTTTTACCAAGACCAGTAAAACTCTCTTTCAAATTTCACTTTCGGGAAGAAGTTTTAAGAAACTTAGTGCTAGTTAGCTCTTATTTCCCTCGTAACTAAGTTCAGCGAAAAGATTACAGAACGACGCATTTCTAAGTATATACTAAAGGCGAATACGAAATATAAATTAATCATTTTAAATGTAACATGCCAATGTCTGTCATTTAAATTCGTTAAGCCTTGATAATTATTAATATTCAATGCATTCGACACGAACCGAAAGTGAAATACCGAAATATTCAATTTAATGGTGACATTGCGTAAATGGTGACTTAGTGATAATTAAAATTATTTTTAAGTAAGATAATTATCTGGTTGGTCTATATATTAAATGAAGCCTGGAATACTTGAACAAGCACATTTTTGAATAACTGTTACAGATGGCTTTTAGCTAAAGAGTCATTATTTAAATAAACCACTTTTCACGAAATGTAGAAGTTAAGCTATTTTCCAAACCGATAAAAGTATTTCATTTAAATGTATACTACTCGAATAAGCTACAGGAAATAGATTAAAAGAACATATATTATTAGTCTTCGTGCTACCAGCCCTCTGGGTTAAACCAAACATATTATTAAATCTAACTTTCGTATAATTATACTACAAAGACAATACAGAGATTCCTAAATACAAAGTTTTAAACATTTTTGTAGGTTTGAAATGCAATAAAATATGAAACCGGAAACAGCATTTTAGGAAGTAACAAAATCTATAACTTTATCCGAGCGATATCATGCATGATATAATTATTGCTGAAAGGCATTCTACATGCAAATTTTTACGCAACAGTTAAGGACGGCTTATACACGAATTGTTGGGACACGGCCGCTTTCACTATTAATCAGATAAGGACCTAAAGTAGAGCATCTTACCTTGACACTTGGACATTAGAAATGTAACTTGTAATGTTAAGTGAGTGTGACATTTGTGTGTCAGCAAGAATGATGCTAGGAGAGGGGACAGAAAGTAGATTTATTTCGCTTAGTAAGATAGTTATTGAATAAAACCTTTTAACGGTTTAAAACGCGAAATAAATTAGACATGCTTGTTTGAAATTTCTTCTAACTACGGCCGGACGTTCGGGTGCTTTGCAGCAGCCGTGTCACTCCGACACGCTGCTAATATATTTGCGTTTTAAACCGTTAAAGCATTTTATTTCATATTGTATACTTCACAAAAGGGTTTGGAAACGAACAAACATGTAACTATGTATATCTGTAGTATCAGCTAGTAGTAGCACATATTTAAATAAAACATATTTTGATCACGGCTGCATAACATCCGAAACGTTTAGCCGTAGTTAAAATTAATTGTAAATAGGTTAAGTTATGTGTTTAGCCTTTTAAACCGTTTAATGTGTTTAATTTAAAAACAGAATTATATAGATATCTAACTAGCGGTGCGAGCTCAATCAATCGATACACTCAAAGGTTTTGTACGAGCAATCATGAACTAGTAGTAGTAGTAGTACATAGACCAGTCTATCTGGATCATTCGTGATTTACGCAAGCCCAATCAGGGCTGCTTGTGCAATCCGAAAATAATGAATGTAATTAACCAGCTGTTATCAATGATAAAATATGATTAATGTGAAACCATTTGTTAGGCTATCCCTATTGGATCTTATCGTGACAGGCCTCGAAAATTGGTTGAGTCGTGACATATGATCTCTTTAAGAAGTTGGTGTTAATTACTAGAGTTATACTTTACATCAAAATGTACTATTTAGATTCTATGATAAAGAGCATGAATACTCTTTATCATAGAATGTTTAATCAGTACTAAAGGTAGTACATAAAAGTAATAATTCATATGATTATTGTAATTCATTGTGGCAAATCTTATATTCCACCATACATGTATATAACTTTTACATAAATATAAGTTTTCGCGAGTAGTATACAATAGTGGGTTTGCAGGAACTCGCTCTCACAAGGCCAAAGTTGCTAAGCTTTAAGTGCGTTAGGTATTTGTAACATAAAGTTGGCGATAAAAGGAGTGGCGGCGAGAGTCTTGCCAGTTCTTCTCGATCTTTCTACGCTATTGATTCGGAATGGGGTAGTAAATGTAAATTTTGAGTTTTCACTGTTTAACTGCATTGACTTATGTTCATAAGTGTACCTAGCTATGTACATGAATAAATGATTTTTGATTTGATATGATATGATAAATACGTTTTAAACGGTTTGAAACATGATTCACAATATGTATTACAGTAGCCGTGGTCCTGAGTTCACTTCAATTCTTACCAATATTTTACCATTATTTATCATGTTGCTTGAAAATGGCAAGAGAAAGTCAATATGAACTGCATCATTAAGTTATTTATTTTAGGAATGTTCTTGACTTTGTGGCTATTATATTATAAGCGAATTTAATAGAATAACCCATTCTTTGGCGATGAATTAATATTCTTGATTTTGATTGATTAGTCTAACCATGAACCCGTTTGAAAATTAACGCATAACTCATTATATCTAATTTAGTGAATAACTTGCAACTGTTATGTTCCAACAGAATGCCATAAATATATTCTGAATACAACTGAATCTAGGTCAGCCACGTGCCTATCTAGATCCAGCCAAGCCTAGACAAACTGGTGAAGGCATTTTGCAATGCGTATTAATCACAGGCGTAGGTTGGAATATTATGGCTTGCTAATGTAGTTTGCAGATAGCTAATAAATAAAAATGTATACTTAATTTATGGTTCTGTATATTTTTCGCTTGATTTCGAGTGGCCATTTAGGGATACTATATACTATACTATATATATAGTTCTGAGTCCAAGTTAGCTTATCTGTTAGATTAGTTTATATTTCTCTAACATACAATAGAACTTCAAGGTTCCTCCACACAAATACTAAACCATGATATCATGTGTACTAAGTTGTGATAATAAAACACTCACCTCATTCCATCAAATCCATCATCCGATCCGTTGATAGTGAGAACCGGCGCACGCGCATAAGCTTTCGCTACCCGACGATTCTTCTCGAACACTATTACTTTGGCCCATATCTCGTCATCTATTTGCGTCCATTTGTCTAAAACTTCTTGTATGTGTTCCTGATGACAAACAAAAACAAATACTTAATATACATTGATGAATCATTATTATATTTAATTCAAAGGTATATAAATTATTATATTATATTGTATTCTGTAACAAAAAACATTTTTCCCGCCTTTTTTGAGTTTTGGACCTGTCAAACTGGAGATATCAAGTTGCCAGGAACAATTGTTAATTTTACCAGAATCCTAGTATTATCTTTTTTAAGTGTTATAATATTTGGATGTTACATCTTTATTATTTTTACGCCACTGGCATAGTTTCGAATGCGAACACGGCTTATAAAATTAACTACGCGTGAACTAAAAGCATTTAAGATTACACAAATATAACCTTGCTTCGCGGTAAGTGTTTTTAACAGTTAGATATTAATCCCAGTGAGGAAACTTTGTCGTAATCATATGACATCGCTCCTTGCAACTCCATGCTCTAGTTATTTGCAAGACTGCATACTATGATTGAGTTACTTTTGATAGGCGATACAAAATAAACAACATCTGTGGTTGATAAGTTTTATTATGATTTTTTAACAATGTTATCGATTGTAATGTATGCTTGTTAGACTAGACGTCTTGCTCTATAGTCAATGAAAACATCGTCACTTGCCAATCCACACTTGATCAAATTAATATTTACGTAAAAGAACGCCGCGTGTTATAAGTACAATTTTGAAGCAAAATGCAAATTACGTAGTTAATTAAAAAGAACCAATGAAAGCAAGATAAAGAAATTCTTATCGATTTTATAAACACGCTGTGTCGTTTCGCTTCCGTGGATTATTAAAACTTTCGTTTTTATTTGCCTAGAGCTTTGTGTGAAAGCGAATCTTGTTTGTCGTTTCATGGTATAATTGGTAATCGTCGTTATTAATAAGTGAGGCTCATAGTAGATCGATGATTTTTAATATAGGTTTTAATCGTTAACTAGATTTTAAGATATTTCGTGTTTAGTATTCTAATGTGTTCTGGATAAAATTATATCTTCCAAAATCTGGTTTAACGAGTTAATTTTATCTAGTAGTAGTATAAGTAGTTTATTCGAGTAGAACATATAAAATTAAAAGTACTATCCTGAAGGTTCTAAGCTGTTAAATATGAGATAGCTATTGAAAAGCATTCGGAGTAGGTATATTACGTAAATTTTAATAAAACAATTAATATATTTATTAATTGTTTAAAAAAATTTAATTGTAAGTGTTCTCTATTGTAGCTAGTCATTATTACTATAGTTTGACTAAAGTTATTGTAAGCACTAAAATTTAATAATATCCTTATGATCTTAAGGAGTAACTTTATTTAACCAGTTCATGTAAATATGAAGTTATCGTATAAATAATGTATAGTACAAAAGTAGTGGAAGGCTTAAAAAAAATTACTAATCATAGTCCTAATGCCAAAATATCTATCTTCTAAGTAACATATAAATATTTTATTATATAAGTATTGAATATTAGCATTTAGTTATAGAACGCAATTTAAAGCGCATACACATACATATAGTACATAACTTGAGCAACTTTGACATCAGATTCCATTTACGTGTGACAAAGATGTATAGAAAACGCACAACATGCATTTCTCTAGCGTAACAAAACGTCAAACGCTTTCGCCGTCTGAATCGACCTCATTATATTTTCGCTAATATTCGATTCTATACTTCGAGCAGGGGTGACAAACATCCGGCTCGCGAATCACACATGGATCTTTAAAGGTTTATTTAGATAATAAATCAATTAATCTAAACTTAAGCAATATAAAGAAAAAATAGTTCTAAGTATCTACATTTTTAATATAATAAAGGGGGGACACTGATAAGTATCTTATGTGGCAGAAAGTGATTCTTTGCTGCTCATAGAATTGATATCTACAACACCAAATCTCGTAGAAGCGTTTTCGGTCTTTCTCTTTTGCTTTTCAAAACATTTCATAAAAGGCTTGGACCATCAAGGAAACTTGGCCACCCCTGACCTAGTACATTGATATAGCCTGAATAAGGCTCGTTAATGTCAGACGTTTTGTATTTCTGGACAGTCAGTCATGCTCTGATTTATGCGATGATATTGTTGTTCTATATGGAAGGATTACGACGTAATGATGCCCACTGTATTGGCATGTCAGGAGTCGAGCACTATGCCTTTGAAGTATTGCTTGGTCATCAGATTTTTATAGGCTTATAGAGAGATCTATAATTTCTTTCGAATCACGATTGAAAGGCATACAGTCGAACAATAGCAGAATGCTTTTGCAACCGTGACTTATAAAATGTAACAAAGAAGTTGCCCTGCGGCGTGCTCACTTGCGTTATTAGGTACGGTTCCCGCTTGGTTCGAAAAAAAACATTATACAGATTGACGCTTGTAACTAAACCTCTAAGATTTCGAACAATTGTGACATCTGTTGTCCAGAGATCAACTGTTCTAAACCTCTGAGCATTTTAATTACGGACAACGTACGGAATATACCCTTTATTGCTAGAGGTATATTTATTAGCCATATTTTAATAGGTTGAAAAAGTACGACGATGACATAGAGTTAGAGCGACAGCACGGAACGGTGCCGATTCCGGTTTGTGTCTTGCCCGAGTTATATTTTTTTTCGATATAAATCGTCTATAATTATAATAATGCATGACTGATTTCGTAATAAATTTGTATAAATGTTACTTATTTAAACTAGATTTTTGCAATAGTTTCTATATTCTTACTACAAAGACAATTTGAACTTCTCAAGTAATAAATTAGGAAATAGTAAGTTCAGTAAGTGGGTGAGAGCGATTTTCTTGCGACAAAAGTATTGAATTCAATTAAGGCTTTGAATGAGATCAATAGGCTTCCGTTGCGGTTTGCTATTGAAAGACAACTTTCACGATACTTTGTTATAAAATGTAACCAATTACTATCCATAAAAGGACAGAATTCGGTGATTTTTCATTGTCAATTCTTTTAAATTTCGAACGATTAATACTAAGATAAAGAAATAGATTTTACTTAGAGAAAAGTCTTTACTATTATTTCTGGATCCAAGTATAGTATGGATCCTATATTCAAAATAACCGGCTTCAAATACGGCATAATGAGAAACGAGAGGACACCGTGAGTCAGATATATAATGGAAGACAGTGTTTTATTTAAATATGCTATTATAATTATTATAATAGTACTACTCGCGTAAAAAAACATTACTCAAATATATATAATCTTAACAAAGCCCAACATTTCAAAGTATATATAGAGCGCATAAAATTATAAACGAGCATAAAAACCTTTCCTTGCATTGGAGTAAATTGCATTATAAAAACAAGTGTTGCCTGATCAAGGCTGTCCACTTTGATAAGCCTATCTGATATATTCTTGTTCCATATTTAAATGCATATTTGCACCAGTTATATTTGCAATATTTAGGTGCGTTTGCACACTGCGCAACATTGATCACGTCTCACTATTTTGTTAGAAATAAAAACTCGTCAGTATTTTAAATAATTGAATATCACTTAATTCACATACGAATTGTTAAACCAATGATCAATTAATGTTTTACCGTATTTATCCATTGTGTAAATTAAAAATCTATTTTAGTTTGAAAAAAATTTACGACATGTGCAGGACTTGGATTGATTTCGTATTTATATAACGCCATCATGTGAACAATATTAAAGTTTTAACACTTTAATTTATTTCTAAATATAATAGAATGATATAAGAAATTCTTTCAATTAAATTGTCTAGTTTCAGTTCTAGATGAGATTAAAGTCGATAGTATTGTCGTATTGAATATTTGCTTCGACTACCAGTTTACACACTAATAAAGACTATTAACTGAGCTACACTCTATATGTACAAGAAAACAATTATTGTGCTATTACACAAGACCCATAAACATGTTTTATCAGTGTTGTAATGTATAAAATGACACGTAACATTTAATTGGCTTGCACTTTGTATTAAACTTGTACGCTTTATATCATATTTTGTATACATAAGTACTGAAACGTAATTATACTTATATACAGTAATTGACACTTGCTTTCCCACAGTTAAGATAGTAACATTTTTCAGGGGTAAGCCTACTTCGAGATGCGTTGTAACACGAAGTAGAAGTTCTTAACAGTAAATTATTGTGAGAACCTTATTTTTTACACAAGTTACATACAACTATATTAATATATTTTTTAATGAAAAGCAATTTTGTTAAATGTATTATTTAAAGGTAAAATGAAAAATTTGTTTTGTATTTATCAAATAAATACACAAAAACATGGGTATATTCTTAAAAGCCGTGCTTGAACGAAATCGTGATCTAAGACGTATAATCTTCACAAAATTTAACGATTTCTTCAAAATCACATTATGGATAACAACCGTATAATACTTTAGCAAGGGCCTCTTTTTAATTTTTAAATAAAAACCTCAACATTTTGTCGTATTTTTCCTTTTTGGGTTTTGACCGATCTTTATTAAATGTCATATTAAAATGTTAATAAATTGTTACGCGTAAAGTGTTTTAAATTCAGGCATTGAATTTGAGTAGGTATTCCCAAGATGGTATCGCTTGTTTTAAATGCATTATTTGTATATTTCAATAGAAATGTTTAGTTCCAACTATTTTATAATTAGGTCCTTCGAGCCGGATAACACTGAATTTTGTCCAGGTAGAAAATTTATATCGTATTGTTGAGGTAATAATTTATAGACAAGTTTCAGACTGTGACAATGACACATCAATCAGAATTAGAGTATTGGCGGATATGTGACATAATGTGGTAATTAAAAATGCATAAAGTTCTGCCTTATAAGGCAAGGACGTTAGAGGTAATACAAGTAATTATATAAAGTAAGCGCTGCCTTACTCAACTCGATTGCGCAAAAAGCGCATAGTGAACGTGTTTTAGAATTAATAGGGATTTTAGATTGAAAGGATACAGAAGTAGCTCTTAGATTTATATTTATTATTTTATATCAACTCAAGTAAAGTAAATTAAATATTGTCTGTAGTTTATG